TTTGTAAAAGTTGCTTAGCATTTGTGGTGAACAGTGATACGTTTTTCGGTATTTTTTTAAACAAAAAAAAATTTGGAAAATAATTGCCATGATTGCACTACTGGGAGTACTCTTCATTCGAGCTTTACACTACCAATGAAAAGGGTCGATCACAAAGTCTTTGACCTGTTATATGTGAACGCTTTAAAAGAAAACTACAAAGAGAACTATAAATTTATAAAAATGAGATTGCTATGGTGTTCTACCTAACGTTATGAAAATTTATTATCCGCCTTTAGTTTAATCAAATATTATAAACTTTGCTTTGGTGATTGCATAATTATTTAATTTAGTGATCTAAGGCAGTTGCCACCATTGTCCAAAACAACAAACGGCAATTACTGCTTTCTTCAACCTGCGACATAAACGTCATTGATTGGTATTGTATATAGGGTGATTAAAAACATTTGAAGTTAACTTCTGGCATCTACATATTGAGTTTCTGTGAATTATGTAGGTATATCAAATTATGAGACTAGGGACTGACACTGCATTTGTGTATATCACAATCTTAGACGTCCGGCATTGACATGACAATGCAGCCACTGCCAATTTTAAATAGTCGACGAATAAAAGTAAGTAGTAGTAGTATATTTACTGCTAAACTATTAAAAAAAACATAAACAAAAGATGACTTTTTGAGTAAGTGCTAGTTTACTATAAAATTTACATACATTAGAGATATTTATGTAACGACTTGATTTAACTTCAACTTTTTTGCGAAAATTGAGGCCCATCTGTAGCCTTGACCCCGCTGGTAAAGTCTCTATATGTCTTAATAAATCAATCTTTTAGACGGACGCAAGGTACTTAATAATTCCCGCGATATTAATTCCCTTACTGAAGTAACAAGACTACGGTATATACCGTCTTAAAATACTAACTGACTAAAAAGTGTGAAATAAAAAAGGTAAATTTAAAAAATCAAAAAACCCGACTGCTTCGTTATACTTCAAATAAAAACTGAAAAGAAAAAAACAAGTCCAGTAGTCTATAATTCTGTTAATAAGGAACAAAGCTACTTTAACAGTCGGGACCCACTGTTGAAAAATATTATGTATTCTTGAATATCTAATGGGTCCCGACTGTTAAAGTAGCTTTGTTCCTTATTAACAGAATTATAGACTACTGGACTTGTTTTTTTCTTTTCAGTTTTTTTACAATATGTCTTTACAGAAGACAGTTTACAAGTCAACAGTGCCGAAATATCGGAAGCTCGCTAAAAACAAGGTAGTACATGGTAACAATCCCGTAAATAACTTATATTACTATAATTATTCAAGTAAGGCCCCCACAGTTTGTAGTCATTAAGTAATTATTCAAACTGAATGTTACACCCAGTGTCTTAATGATTGGTACAAGGCATATGGATAAATAACTAGGTGATAAGTCATTTGGATCTAAATTTTGCTTTAAGTTATTATAAAAACCGAGACTTACACCAATTAGCCTAGCCCCAAAGTAAGCACTTCAGGCTTGTGTTATGAGACACTAGGGTAACGGATAGAATACATATCTATATAAGTATATTTATATAGAAATACATATTAAACATCCATGACTGTAGTACAAATGTTCGTATTCATTACACAAACATCTGCCCCCACCGAAAATCGAACCCGAGACCTCCGAGCAGGCGATACCTTGAAACCCGGCGTACATACTACTCGGCCACGGAGGTCGTCATATTGGATACAATAAGATTAATGTTTTTTTATATATTTAGACGACACTCGCCACAGGTACTCGCTACAGGTGATTAAAGTGCATTATTCTATAATGATGACAAAGTCCAATTTGCAAAATGTCTATAAAGCAAAACGTCTAAAAACATTATATCACCTAGAAAACAGAAAGCCTCAATTGTAGAAGGGCCATAAAGCAAAACGCCTAAAATCAACCATTTGAGCTGATTTTGGTATTGAAATGATTGTCGTAGTCGTAGAAACAGGAAATGTAATACAATTACAAGATACGTTCTAAAATTGAAACAGCATTTAAAAAAAAAGAATACAAAGGAGTATTAATGTAACATACAGCCAACCTATTTTAATCATTATGTTTTTTTTAAATTTACATCGCCACTGCTGGGCGTTTTGGCCATTACAGCGGACCGATGCTGTCATTGCGCATAACGACCAGTAATAATATTCCGCCCACCAATTCTGCCTATTCGAAGATACGCATCGGTGGCCGGCCGGTACGCCCACGGCTGAACAAATGGGCCGGTGTTCCGTACACGCGATTGGTACCGATGCTGGAAACGCGTGATAGTATCTGCAGCGGAATTCGAAATTTGAAATGTAAAAAAAAAGTTTTTTTAAAACCATTAGAAACCTGGCTACTACAAAGTAGTTTAGTTGGAATTTATAGCTTTAGTGAATACAAAATATGTAAGATTCAATAAAATACTAAGGGTACAGGAAGTCATTCGAATGAAGTATACGATCTTCTCATAGCGAAAGATTTCGCGATACATGTTAATATAATTATATTTGTTTTTTTTATTTTTTAAGCATTTAACTGCTAGAAGTTTAAATCTTAAGAAAAGTTTACTAGAAAAAAAAGTACGCTGACCAGGCCGTACCGTTCCGCCTGCTGCCTGGTCCGCGTGGATTTTTTTTCTAGTAAACTTTTCTTTAGATTATTATATTTGTACAGTTTTCCGCGATTCTTAGATTTTTCTTTTACCGAAAATTAACTCTACTTTTTTGGTAAACACTATTTTCACGCTCCAAGTAAGTACAACAAATAAGAAAAGGTATAACATTAATTTTGAGTTCGCTGAGAAACTTTACTAGCTAATTCAGACAAAGATTTAGGTTATATTTCAGAAAAAAAAGATTTTTTGAAAAATGTCTCAACGTTAACTGACTCTGTGCAATTATGAAACCTTTTAATATTTTAACTGCCATAAATTAATTAAAAAAGAATAAATTTTAAGTTCTAAGTACTATAAACGGATAATAAATCTAACATACCTGATGTTAGTTACAAAGTGCCGTTTTAGGATATTTTGTAAACAATATAAATCAATATTTTTCTATGGGGGTATGGGGGTGTAGCAAGTATACTATTTATAACGGTTCGCAGCATTTTTATTTTAAAAAAATAAAGGTTCTTAGGTAAGTCAAAATTAACGGTGTATAAATTACAATTTGAATCAATAACATACTAATCTGAATTCTTGACCACAGCGAGTTCGTTCGAATATTGTCGAACGATTTATAAATAAGAACTGTCTAATATTTTGCTGCTGGTTTAAATAGCGATAATTTTTAAATACTAATGAAACAATAAATGCTGCCGTTACAGGAACAACTTTAGGTTTATTTTTATCTTAAGTTATAACCGTAAATGAAACAAGTTCATACTTTTATATTTATATATTCTGTACACACTAATATAGATACAGGAGCAATTTAATTAAAGATAATATATACAAGGGCACAACTTATTTCTTCCATCTGAAATTTCTTCCAGTAAGCCCGTACTATAAAAAAATATAAGAAAAGGTAGTCAGCGTGTACACCTGAATATAAATATGTACATGTTTAATACTTATAAATATGGGAACTACAAATATAGGTTTATATATACAGGTATATGTATATATACTCGTATATAATGAATAAATACATACATATACGAATATGATATTGATGACAATACATAAATAAATAAATACATACATAATATAATATGGACGACGAGAAGAGAAACAATGAGAAGAACAAGAGCAAAATTAAGGACAAGAAGATAAACAGTGTTCCTTCAAATGTTTTTGAACACTGAGACAGAACTAGAGTCTCTAATTTCTGCTGATAGCGAGTTCCACAGTCGGACAGTATGTACTGAGAAGGAATAGGATGCGAAACCATTGTTATGGGTGGGACATTTTAGAAGGAATTTGGGTGGGATCTGCGAGGATCTGTTGAAGAGTGAATGAAGGAAAACCGTTCACGGAGGTAAGCTGGATACTGAGGATTATTTTAATTCATTATCTACGGAAAAAAGCTTTTTTTTATGTTATAAGGGTGGCAAACAAGCGTATTGCTCGCCTGATGGTAAGCGGCCGCCACAGCCCATAGGCACTTGCAATACCAAAATAATATCACTCGCACCTTTGCCTACCCTGATCCAATCTCCTACCCCGTGGAGCTCTGGAACCTTACTCACCGATAGCAACACAATACCACCAAAAGGTAGTGTTATTTTACTCTGATATTCTGTGAGGTTACTTTCCCAAACAGGCGCTCAAATTCGAGCGGGATAGCTGCTATGCCCTACCTCTTATTAATAACAACTTATGTCATCTGCTTAATTTCAGGTGCAGATAGTAAAAGTTTATCAATGGATCAGGGCGTTTTGACTGTATGATGACTAAGACAGGTCCAGGAGAAAAAATGTTTAAGATACTCATAAAAACAACCAAGAGAAATTCTACAGATCGCGCCAAATTTCTTGTCCGCTCTGAAGTTGACCAGCGAGGATGTACCCGTCGTATACCTACACAATCTGCGTCCCTCTATATACCTGTTTTTTTATTGCGAAGCGAATTGTTCAGTGTTCAAAGCGAACTAGAAGATTAGCGCGATCTGTACTATCAAGGGAAATGGCTTGGATTTGATAGATGGATTTTGGCGGTGTTCTGCTTCTTCATGATAATTTTGAGCTAACCTAAAGTTTGTCTCAGTGGCTTAGCGAGTCTTACGAGATTCGCCAAGTTTTGAGCGCCTATATGATTATAAATATCATCAATAATTTCATAACGCATAATGCAGTTGATCTATTTTTCGTAACTATACGGCATTTCATGAAGTACTCATCTACTCAAATTCACTCAATATTTACAAACTTTTTTCCTGGAGGCAACCAGCACAATTCCAATGTGGACATACCGAATGTAAACAATTCTGATTGTGGTGCGCCTTTAAAATGGCTCACGATCTTTCCCACAGACTATTAGCTCAGTGATATCCATAATGTTTGGTGCAGCGATCATAGTTCTAATATCTCTAAACACTGTTCTACCAGTGTATTCAATGGATATCAGAGAAGAAACCAAGAAAAAGAATAATGAAATGTGCAAAAAGTTAGCTGAGGATCCATATTTTGAGACCGAATTGGTGATTGGGAGACCGTGGCGTATTTATTACACTTGGAATGTGAAATTGGACACGAAATGCTTGGACATGACTTTCAAGAATGCAACTCCGCAGGTATTCCTAGAACCTTCTTTTACGCAGTATCTTTTTTATTGTATTTTCGTCCATGATGTTGAGAAGACACGTTTGCTACAGCACTTAATGCACCGCTTGTAGGATTTCTGCCCAGGCTCTACTTAGATGCAACAAGAACGCACTTCAGAATATAGGTACTATTGTAAGTTGGAGGCCTCATTCCTGCGATTGCTATTAATCTATTTTTAAATGTGATCAAATTAATTATTCTTTAAGAAACTTTATTTCCAGAATCTGCAACAATGAACATCCACCAATTTTCACATTTGCATTAACGGTACATCCGTTTTCAAGTGTTATCATAAGCCAAATGTGGATCTCTGTCCTTAAAATTTTGTTACTTTAAATTTTTTTCTGCAATACATGTTGACATAATTTCAGGTAATCCAAAGAATATGGAACGACATGAACGAGTATATAGAACATCAGCCAGCCTGGGACGCGGCTACTCTTCACGTCACTATGGGCATGGCTCGCCATGAGCTACTGCTGTTTGCTGATCAGGGTGCAGCTGGAAGCTTCCTTGGTGTGCCCAACGTTATCCGAGATGGCAGTACGTATCAGAAAATCGAGACTCTACGTCACGATTGGTTAGCGCGTTCGGTCTGCGACTTTGAAAGTAAAGAAACTTTAGCAATTGCTGATCATTGGATGGGCGACCAAAAATTTATTACCTCGGGCTCCTCCGTGCTGCGGAAGGCACCTTAAGCCGTTGGTATTGGTTCCATCTGCAGCCGTTAGTACCCACCAATCCGCACTGGGACGGCGTATTCCATCCACAGGTTAGGCATGTGCCTTAGTAGTGGGGACATTAATAGACTAATGATGATATGAAAATATTTTAAGCCACTGTCATCAATATTTGACCAAATAAGTCTGGTTTCGAGGATATTATATCAAAAAGGTCAAGAAAGAATATATGAAGGAGGAATACTACATTGTAGAATGCCCATAATGCTGTAGTGTTTGTGCTCTCAACAAAAGTACCAAATCCAAAAACCTTGCAGTAGTTACACTAATAAGTATGTTTTGCTTTATATATCATTTTTACAGACATATCACCGATGAAGCAATCCGTGCCGCTCATGAAGTTCCAATTGAAGTTGGTACGCGAAGGGAAGTACCTGGTGATGATGGACTGTCACATCGGTGTTTCTACCCTCTCAGCGCGATCTTCGGAGCCGATCTATCGTTCGGAAGTGCTCGCTACTGTGGCTCCTTTGCAGCTTGGAGACGGCTTCCCGGCCTGTACTGAAGAGAAAAACAAAAACGAAATGTTCCTTACTAAGTAAATTTATGAAAAAAATATGATTTTTTATTTAGTGACTCCTTATTAAAAATTACTAGTCTGAGAACTTACGTACGTCATTTGTGTACCTCAGCCGAGACAAATGCTAAATACATAATAACAAAAAGTAAAGAATAAGCGCTAAATCAGTATTTTTAGGGTTCCGTACTTCAAAAGGAAAAAACGGACTCTTATAGGATCACTTTGTTGTCCGTCCGTCCGTCCGTCTGTCAAGACCATTTTTCTCAGGAACGCGTAGAGGTATCAAACTGGAATTCATATCTAATACTCATGACTTCTGACCCTTAGAGCTGTGAAAAAATTAAACTTCTAAGCCAAAGTAATCAAAAGATACAGCCGTTTATGCCGCTTTTCGAAACTCGGACGGGAATCAAACCCTACAGGGTACTTTCCGTTAACTTAGAATCTTGAAATTTGGTACGAAGTAAAGTCTTATAGTACAGATAAAGAAAAAATTGCGAAAACCGTAAATTTTTAGTTACATCATATAATAAAAATATTTTGAAAATTTTAAAGTTACTACCTCTTTACTCATGAACGCGTGGAGGTATTAAATTGAGTTTGTACGGAACCCTCGGTGCGCGAGACCGACTTGCACTTGGCCGGTTTTTTTTACTTCCATTTTTTTGAAGCGCTTCGTCGTTTTTTTAGCCCCCATAACTTGGGTTTGGATTATTATGTCAATAGTAGACTTATTAAACATTATGAAGTTACAATACACAGAAGTTTATTAGATATATCAATATATATACATGTATAACTATTATGTGACTCAATGGAGCATTTTTATACTACAATAATAATCAAATAATTATGAAACACTTTCAAAAAACAAAATGTTTGAAAAATGACTATAGGTGGGTACTACATGGATGCTACACGGTGATAAAATTGACATGAAATTGGTATTCAATTGTTTATTGATAACAAGCGAAACGACATTTCACATTCAGTAATAAACAAATAACAACAGAGCTGAGGTTTATATAACAATCATGGCTATAGGAATATTTCGCAGTGATTGTTCTTCAACGGAATAGTGAATTACTACAACCCAAAAGAAAACAATATAAAAAAAAGTGCCGTGAATGAATTAATGACTATCAATATGTATTTCACGGGTTCACATAATATGTTTCTGAAATCAACGGAGAATTCGATAATGGTTTTCACTACAATGATATTAGTTTTAGCAGTAGGTCTTATATCCCCGATAAAATTCAATGAGACTGATAGAGAACACGCTACATTGGTGAACGAGAGCTCTAATGCGAATTGGACCAATTGTAGTAATTTTGTAGCTAACACTACTTTGGATCCTAATTCCATTATTGATATCGACTGGACGATCTTCTACTTCTGGAGCTTAGAACACGAGGATAGCTACACCATGAGGTTCAGCGTACCAGATGTATTGGTAAATAGCTCTTAAAAATTAACATTTATCACGTTTCAAATGCAACTTGATTTTGAACATCAAGGGAGTAGTAAGGTAATGTTTGTATCTTCCATTCCAATATAAAATGCTTCTTCCTTTTTATGAGTGTTTTTGATGATAGCTGTCAATATTCGTGATTCTTATACTGAAACAAATCTATACTTTTAAACTAAAACCATGGTTGGGTTGTTTGATTGAACGCGCTTATCTCAAGAACTAATGATTGTTAAATTACATTCTTTTCAAAATTAAATTTAATTATTAGAAAAAAATTTTCAAATCGGACCAGTAGTTCTTTATTTTTGTGTTGAATAGTGCATTCATCAAGAAATTCTTTAGGTTATTTAACATAATGCTACGACCAATAGGAGTGCCAATAAAAATTTTTGCAAGAAAAGAAAAATAAATCCATTTTAGAGCTCTCATAACGGTTAAAGTTACACCAAAGATCACGTGTGACAAACCTGTCCTCTTATAAAAGTTCTTTATAAAAAAGTCTGCGACAACATATTAAATCTATCTTTTATGGGTGACCCACTATAAACTTTTTCTACAAATTAATACGTGTGAAACCGCAGGGCACCTTCTGCTCATAAACAGGCTGTCCAAATTTCAGCAGAGTAAGTAGGTTACGATAGACTCAGTTTGATTTTGACAGTCTTTCTAAGATGTTTGGATACATCAATATAATTATAATCGCCAGTCAAATAGGTACTTACCAAATATTAATTGTTTTACAGTTATTGAAGAGAATAAGGGAGACCATACCGTATGAACCACATCCCGCGGTGAACTGGTCGAACGCAGAGCTTTATATGGAGACGTCCATTGACATGAGCGGCGTGTACTTCAAGACTGATACACCAGGACTGTACCGGCTCATACCGACGTTGTTTACAGAATGTACTTGATTGTATTCTATTTCCGTTACGTCCTAAGTGGTCTCATGAGACTACATTCCACTTCGTGCATTATTGGACATGTTGGGTTTCCTCCAGCAGTTCCTGGGCTCTGCCGGGTTAGAAGTGGTGTTGCTATGCAGCCCAGGAGGTGCAGCAGGAGGTTCAACACGTTCATAAGGTCTCGGTAACATGGACGTTAGTGCCGCCCAAACAGCGAAGGGTGCCGTTTTCCTGCCCGTCCTTTATGAGGGCAGCTGGACATTGTATATATGTAGCCTCCATTCACATTATTTGCTTGCCTGAACGAACATTTTTTTATTTGATGGAACTGTTATCCCTTTCGACCCTCTAGAAGAGCGAAAAATCTTGATGTGATCTTTAGTCACTTTTTCTCTTGGTAGCCTCAGGTGGAAGTGAAGTTTCCAACAAGTACAAAAGTCATTTTGGCTCGGTCACTTTTACTTTTTATTATCGACTACGCTGATGTTTATTATACTGACATAACTGAGGAACTCCTTAACAAGCTGGAACGTCTGCACAATACCTAGTCAGGTCATAAATTCTGTCACATGTTTAATAAGTATAAAATAATTGAAACAAGTTTATTCATTATGTAACCATTTATATACCAAAATGAACTTAACAAAACATAGATTCTTATGACAATAAAGTTTATTCAAAATGACCTCCGTGATTTTGAATACAGGCCTTCAATCTGCGCGGCCAGTCGTCTATCGGAGCACGCACGAGGTCGATGTCAATATCGGCGGCTGCCTTAATCAAGGATGTCTTGAGTGACTCCAAATTGGGATGAGGCTTTGAGCACACCTTTTCCTCCAAGTGTTGCCATATCTTGTAATCTAACGGACTCAAATCTGGACTGGAGGAGGGCCAGTCTTCGTGCCGGATGAAGTTGATTTCACGCGGCGCCAGCTAGTCTTGTGTGCTCTTCGCTCTATGAGCTGGCGCCGAATCTTGTTGGAATACCCAGTGCCTGTTATTGAACATGGTATGAGAAGCAGGTTCCACAAGGTTCGTCAGGACTGTATTTTGATACACAACTGCATTCGTTTTTACACCTTTCTCACAAAAATGTACCTCTGTTAAGCCCTAATAAGAAACTCCCAACCATACCATGACCGAGTCTTCATTTAACACCCTTTTCACCGTGGTTCTCCTTAACCCCATCTGAAGGGCCAACAGTTTCTGCTTACGTTTGGGATTTCTTTGAATTCGCGCCTTTACAGCTTTTATCACTGCTGGAGTCCTAACAGACCGAGGGCGACCACTTTTTGACCTATCATCTACACAGTGTCTTCAGTGTATCGTTTGATGGTACGATAAACGAATCTTTTGGTTATATTAAATTTTTTCAGTATGTCAACAATTTGAATTGGCGCGTAACCGCAACGATGCAACGCAATAACTGCAACAAGGTCTTCTTTAAGCGTCCACTCCATATTTAAAAATGAGTAAAATTCTAAAAAGTATACTTTTTTATTTTCATGAACAATTCGAAATTCGAATTCAATAAACTTTTTTGTGGCCAGCATTCCAAAAGAAAAGTTTTTACTGTGTGATAATACTTATGACCTGACTGTGTATGTGTATCAGGTTCATTTTTAACCTTCATAAATAGGACCATGTGTCACACTTTTGTTCCAAACAAATTTGGCACCCTATTCGCCGACGCAGGGATATACACATTCTTACACTTGTCTATTCTGTAGTTTTCCTTCCTAATGATAACTTAACTTTTTATTATTTATTTGCAGTGCAGGTCACCGAAAAACTTATTTTTGGAATAAAACTTGTGGATGGATACCTTGGCTTGATGAACTGCCGAGGACAAATAGCGTATGCCTTAGCACCAGTGTCGAAAGTACCCAAGATAGATGAGGTAACTTCTTACTTAGATATAATAAATAAATAAATATTTCTAATACTCACACCGATTAGCCTAGCCCCAAAGTAAGCACTGAAGGATTTTGTTATGGGATGCTAGGGTAACGGATAGAATACATATACTGATTCATATTTAAGTATATTTATATAGAATTACATACTGACAAATGCTCGTATTCATCATACAAACAACAGCCCCCACCGGGATTTGAACCTTGAGTTGGCGACACCTTGTAACCCGGTCTATAAACCACTCGGCCACGGACGTGTTATGTTTATTAACATTGGAGTTGTATTAAAGTTGATATTATTTCATTTTTTGAGATAGTAAGAGATCAAGTGAACTGATGAAATAATTGAATTTTACAATAAAATTAAATTCAATGATTTCATTAATTCACTTTCACAGTTTTTGAGTGCAAACGTCATTATAGTCCAGATGAGGCGGGTCTCCCGTCACAGCGTTGCTCTATGAAATGACATGAAGCTGCAAGCAGAACGGAGGTCCGCTCCGTGCTCCTGCTTGACGCAGCGCAAGTCCTACATCCTGTTAACACATCATTCCATTTTTGTCAATTGTTCAAAATCAAATAGAATAGATTGAATAAACAAGTTTAGCTTTCAAATTTGATTTAAGAACATTGATGCAAGTGGGCCTTAAAAGCACGCTTGAGTTTGATATTCTTATTTTTCTACAGCTACATGGAGCTGCAGCTAGAATTGGGTTTTGGAACCCATTCGGCCGTTCCTACCTTACCCAGAAGAAGGAGACGTACTTCAAGGAGGAGGAACCAGTTCCGGCTGACTTGGATGATGATGATGATGAAGTGCAAATGGAAATAGCTAAAGATAAAGCAGCTTTTGATATTTTTTGATCTCGTGACTTACAGAAATAAAGATAAATATACTGTAAAAAGATATATTTTTTTTTATAATCATCCCACCGAAATTAAAAAAAAATAGTATGTCGACAAGCTGCTTCATTATTGAACTAAATATTTATTAAACAACTTAGAGGACATATAATATGTAGTATATTTTAGTTGAACTACATTGCATGTACAGATACAACCTTAGGTTCCATCCTAAGATTGCCAAAAAGCTGGAATGACAGCAGTGTAAATAAATACAATCATTATTTACCTCGCTTAAGATGTTATTAAAATCATCCTACTTCATACAGATTTTTAAGGATTTATTAAGATTTTTATTAATATATACATCGTAACAATAACAAAAATTACATAATGTATAAAATTTACAATCCTACCTAACTACTTAAATAATATAAAATTTATAAAATAAATTCATAAAAAAAATGAGGATTCTAATACTCGTGAAAAAATATTATCACTCTATCGGGCAAAACAGGATTAAAATATTCTGTCAGTACACAGTCAGGTCATAAGTATTGTCACACAGTAAAAACTTTTCTTTTGGAATACTGGCCACAAAAAAGTTTATTGAATTCGAATTTCGAATTGTTCATGAAAATAAAAATGTATATTTTTTAGAATTTTACTCATTTTTAAATATGGAGTGGACGCTTAAAGAAGACCGTGTTGCAGTTATTGCGTTGCATCGTTGCGGTTACGCGCCAATTCAAATTTTTGACATACTGAAAAAATTGAATATAACCAAAAGATTTGTTTATCGTACCATCAAATGATACAATGAAGACTCTAGTGTAGATGACAGGTCAAGAAGTGGTCGCCCTCGGTCTGGTTAAGACTCCAGCAGTGATAAAAGCTGTGAATGCGCGAATTCAAAGAAATCCCAAACGTAAGCAGAAACTGTTGGCCCTTCAGATGGGGTTAAGCAGAACCATGGTGAAAAGGGTGTTAAATGATGACTCAGGGCTTCGGGCATATCGAAGAAAAATAGGATCAAACGATGTCCTGATCCTATTTTTCTTCGATATCGTCTAATGGGCCTGAGACTGAAGAGATGCCGCGCTTTGTTGAAGTGGTACGCGGGAAAAAAATATCGGAAATAATAGCCACTTCAGTAGAGCAATTCTTCGAACGGTATCGGTGGCTTTAATTCTCCTGCAGATTTCCTCTATATTTTTTTTATCTATTATTTCTATATCGTAAGGAAATACCTAGCATCGCTTTCATCATTGCTCGCTGTGTGACACTAATCCCATTACGTAATCTTCACAACTAAATTAAAAAATGTGCAACTTTGTTATTAATGAAGTCTTTTGAATACCAGGAAGTAAAACTGCAACACATGATTGAGTGTCTGATGTGAACCAAACACAATAGATCAATACGAAGTGCACAAAATGTATCTTCAGATATAATCAACCCTTTTGAAGATTTTTTTAATGTTATAAAAACTAAAGTATATATTTAATGCTTATTCTTGCACTAGCCGTAAAAAATAAAAATCATGTACATATAAAATTCTGTCCTACTTGGCCAGCTATCATTATTATTAACGAAAAATAAAAGTGTAACTACTTGCTAATAACTTTCTGGCGAATATTAACGATTGTGTAAAAATTGGGAATCCATCATTTTATCACAATTCTTTTCAACGATTTTCATTACCTATAAAACGAATCGCAGAACTTTTTTTTTCAATATTTAACAATCGCTAGAATTTTGTTACATCGCATTTTTATTTCCTTGAATATAGATTATCTACAAACACAGTTCATTGTTATTTCTTTTCATGTTTTATACATTTTATCGAAATAATGTTACATCGAAGTTTTGTTACCCATATTTTTGTTTCATCGTAAGTTTCAGTTTGCAAAATAATGGAAACATCAATTTTTACTGCAAAAAATCAATGTACATCGAAAAACAATTTGGTGATGTCTTAAGTAAAAAAAGGTATTTAAAATGACTCAGTTTACCTCAAATCCACGTAGTCTTATCTGCCCTACCCCTAGAGTGCAATTTCAAAGTACGTAGGCGCGGAGGGGCGACGCGGGCTAAACTGTATTTCCAGGGCCTAAGTGGTGATACTTCATACTAGGTTAGGTTAGTGTTGTGACAATAACGCGCGAGCCGAGCGAGCGAAGCGGGCGTGCCGAGGCAGCAGTCGGCAAAGCGTCAAAAAATATTTTTTTAAAAGAGACCTTTTGAACAAAAATAATTCATCATTCGATGAAACGTTACTGCGATAAAAAGTTGTTATGTGAAAAAGTATTATGGGTTTCGATACATATTATAACATGTTTTTATGAATAGTTTTATCGATAACTTAATACTTTTACGAAATATAAGTTCGATATACCGTTTTCTCGTAATCAAAACGAAACTTTAAAAGATTTTTTTCAAGAAACGTTTTTCGATGATTGAAAATTCGACGAATTGAAAAAAATATATATTAAAATTCGTGGTATGATTTTCGGTAAAATGAAAATAGATATCGAAAAAATCTGTGTTCTGATAGACACCCGTAAAAATTGGTGCCTAAGACAAGACGCATCGCAACATTGCACCGATGTCGAATATTGAGTAACAAAATTTACATACCTCGATTACAACTTTTCTTATATTGCGTACCCCTGCCTTCACCGTATAAAGTACTAACGTAATGTAAAACTACCCATTATGTAAACCCATTGTGAAACGGAAAATGCTATTGTGCCTTAATTTGTTCCTATCTGCTTACATTTTTAAGGTCTTATCACAGAGCTTCGACGATGACACACCAGTTAAAGGAATTATGGAGGATATTCACGAAAAAAAGGCAAAACCTGTACCATTCGGTCACATATTTAGAGATGGAATAGACGATCCAGCTAGTGGCTATAAAGTGCCATATGATCTGCTAGAATTAGATATGAGATTTCCCCATAATCGAAAGGAGGACAAAGAACTGCAAAGGCGTCCTAGAAAAAAGGTAATCAAAATAGAAAAATCTGTACCTAGCAGTAAAGTTCTAAGTCCGCGTGACATGTACGTTGATGAATTCATGAAAACATCAGACCAAAGTGTAAATAACACGTCTGTCGAAGATGGTCGACCTAAGTGGTTCAACTTTGAGCAAATACAAAAACAAAATGCTGAGGTCATCCGTGAAAAAGTACGTCCTAAGAGCAATACCGACTTTATACTGCCCGACAAAAGGAAGGCGTATTCAAATAATACTAAATATTATGAGAAAAAAGACTTCAGTAGTAACACCTTTGACTTAACCAAAACTGTTGCAGGAGACAAGCTAAGTTGGACCACTTGTGAAGAATTCGAAAAGAGTCTTAAACCTTTAAATCTTGTGTATCCGAAAGACATTGTCGACATAAATTGGGAGCCATTTTACATTTGGTCACCACGTAAACATCTTATAGCATTTGTTCATAGATTCTCATACCCAACAAAAAAGGTAAATATTTATTTCTTTATTTTTATAATAAGTAAAATATCTTACTTTACAGAATTCTAGGTAGGTAATTAAAACCTATAGGAATCAGATTCTAAAACTTTACATTAAAACATACCGTGAGGGTAACCTCAACAAGTATGAGAAAGATGACAGAACATCTCGGCTAAAATATCGTTAAATATGTATAATTTCTAATTATAGATCGTAAAGGAGTATAAAGAAATGTATGGGAAGTTTTTACCAAAATTTATAGACTGGGAGCAACCCAAGTTGATGTTAAATGAACGAATAGAGATGCTCCTGATAGCTGGTGATAGAAAAGGCCTATTTTACGGAATACCCAGGCAACAATTACCACTTTCAATCCGACGTTAGTATTATAGCTTCATATTATGCTACTATAACTACAAATATTAACAACAAAGGTATTTGAATCATACACATATAGTTTATCAACTGGCGCATTAATTAAGTTAAAGAAGTTTGGTTCCACGACGATATTTTGATATTAGAAATTTTTGATTCTATTACAGGTTAATTAGTGATTGTCTGCATTGAAAACCCTCGTAGATGAAATTGCAAATAAAAATAAGTAATAAAAAAAACTCCTGCTCATAAGACATCTTAACTAATTGTTAATACTTTTAAACATAAAATCATATAAAATACTTTCAACTTCGATTTAATATGCCTTTCTAGAATTAATCAACTTAGCTATCAAAGATTCTTATAATTAAAATATTTTTTTTCTTCTAGATAAGAATTTTACACTTCCTCCCATAACACTGCGACTGAAAATCGAGGATCCATACTTGGCAATGATGTATTGCGATGAGCTGTATGCAAATATCATGGCATCTCCAGAGAATTTGCCCCAAACCAACAAGGAGAAAGTCGAAGAGGCTGCACTCCTTAAATTTAAAGGACAGGGGTATCCTATAGCGAGAAACATATATTTGGAGAAGTTAAAGCTGAAAGGATTACAAGAACAAAAGGCGAAGGCAGAAGCAAAGAAAATCCTAAAAGCCTTACCAGGTTATCCGGGTATAGATGATATACTGAGGTAAAACATTACCGACAACTTTTAGCCTCGATATTAATCTAAAGATTGAGATCCAAACAAAGGTAGGATGACGACAATTGCTTTCTTAGTTACAATTGATGATTGTTTTCTACTTCAATTAGTTTGAATAAAAAAGGGGAAAAAAATGTAGATAGATGTTGATTAAAACTCTGAAAATTAACACTGTTTTCTGAACATACCAACCTTTTACAACATTGATTAGTCACTCAAAATGTTGACTGTGTGAAAATGGCAACTTAGCATAGCACGAAGGAATTTCCTCTTCACAAATCAACAAACTGAACAATTGTAAACATACGTTAACTGCTATAAGAATGGAAGAACACAGTCATTGTGTGATATTGAGTAAGTGTCTAAAAACCGTACAATCTTTTACAAGTTGGATTTGACCACATTTATCATTTAATTTGTTTTTAATTAAAATAATCTTCAAAGAAGATGAAATGAGCTGTGAGCTTTCTTATATATTATAGATTGGTAGTAAGTACTAATAATAACATTTGTTAAATGACAGAAGGTAAAGAAGTAAAGATAAAGATGATTATTGAAAAAGTGAATGCTTTTATATTTGAGAGCGTTGCAAGAATGCTTATTATAGGAGTTATTGTAATGTTTGTGCTGTGTACGCAAGTGTCAGGGAAGTACCCAGAAGGGTTGAGGAATGCGACCACGTGTGATGAGTTCAGCAAATTTGCGAGATTCAATCCTTATTCAGTGCTAGAATATAATTGGTTCGTATTCTATTATTGGGGGCCGCATATGCGTCACACTGAAATTCAGTTTGAATACCCTCCACCCGATGTAAGTAGTCTGTCTCAAATAATATTAAATAAGTAATTATTATTTGTTCCGAGTTCTTTGACTATAAAAAGAATGGCTTGTTCAATGGCAAGAAAAAAAAATATTATAACTGTTATAGTCTGCGTAGACGAGCGACTTTTGTCCGCGGTATTTTTTGTCCACCAGAACAGATCGCTTACGACTGCATCGAGTAACAGACACGCGGTATTAAAAATTCCGCGTGCAAAAAGTCCCCCGAACAACCGAGGACACTGGAGAGGCCTGGTATAACGAATTTACAGGAGATCTCCTGTTTTTCTGAAAATTTCTCCTGTTCTTCTGTTTTTTTACATGATTTTACTGTTTTTCTTAGAAAACGATTTTCTGTTTTAAATTCCATGTTGAGTTGCGTTTTCCGTCATTAAGAATGAAGGTACTACGCCCCTACTTTTACTGTTTTTTCTTGTAGCTCTTTCCATACATCTAATGCTTTTTTCTATAACGTCTCCCGATTTTCGATTCCGTCTCTGGTGGGGAGGGACCGAACCAGGAAAAGTAAGCGAGTGACCCCGAAAAAACTAGAACTCAAGTGACAGGGTGCAGCAACACACATGGCGAACTTAAATCCGCGATGCGTACTTGATCCGATTTAAAAAGATGGACCATTATTCTCCTTTAACGTCGCCCTCGTCGAACATTTCTTCACGATGCAGGGACTTTTGTCATCCGCAGACAAAAGTCCTACATCTGCGTAAGCCATATCTTTGCTATAAAGTATGTGGACATTCTTCATTTGGTTTAATGCAATGATTACTTTACTCTTCATTCGTCATAACTTTTCTATTAGGTATAATTTCTTTATCCTGTAACATGAAATTAACTATCTCCAACATTAATTTTTTAGGGAAAAGCCTACCTTCATTTTTTACTCGATGAGCATGTTAACGTACCAATCAACTGGACTGCTAGATTTGTAGTAATGAAGAACTTGAACATTAGACAGTCTTGGTTGATGGTCGAGACGGGTGACAGAGGACAGTTTTTGAAGTATCCATTTATCAAAAGTAAGCGATATTTTTGGATAAAACCTTAGATTAAAACAAAAAGGGAAGATACGGCACTCGCGGCTCGAAAGTGATCCGCTTAAATTGTGGTGCGTGACCATAATTCGCTTTAGCCATAACTGGACAAACAAACACGCTGCATGTGCACTGAATATAACAAAATTGCGTATATTCTGTGTTATAAAGATAAAACAATGCCTTCGTTGTTTTTATAAAGATCACAAATAGTTCAAAATCAAATGCCTCGGCAACACTTCATTCCTAATACTGTAAAAACATTTTTTTCTCAAAAATCACGGTTTGTCGTGAATGTTATTTTCGTAACGCCATTTTGTTATCAAGAAAAGGACAACAATGCAGCTCAGCTATGCGGATTCGCCGTTTCGCTCGCGCTACGTTGAAGCGTACAGTTCTGTCTCGCTCTCTCGATTGAATGTTTATATACAGACGTGTGCGTGTGAGAGTTGCTTACGTATGTAGTTGAGTCGGATCATATTTTATTTGATGCTAGTATGAACGTACTGTATCTTCCCTTTATTCAAGGATAAAACTTAAAATGAATAAGTATTATTACTATAAAAAGTTATGCCCATTTTCTTTGTTTGGTTTTAGCTAAGAAAAAAGGTCCCAAGATTGTTCCCCAAGAAGTTAGATTCAAACAAACTGGTGGTGGGAAGTACATCGCTTACATGGACTGTAAGGTAAAATCGAATTAAAATGTCATTGTTTTTTTAGTACAACACAACAGGAACCAGAAGACTAGAGCCAGTCGACTGCGCAGTATACAGGAGAACCTGTCTGTGCGCAGTCAACTGGCTCTAGTCTTGACATTTATTGGAGTCGAAATATTTGTCATACACCGTAAATCGACCGCGTAATAGTATATTTAATAAATTTGTAAAACCCAAAGTATGGTACAGGGATTTTAGGGACCTACCCTATTAATACTTATATAATACAAAGTCCACTTGTTATATATTACGCATTTAATGCATTTTTTTACATCTAATATTCAATTACATTTGGTCGTAAGCCCTAATACGTTTGCCAATGGAATTCGGGTAAATGACTACGTGTTAATGTAGTCGAGAACGCCCGACATCGGGACAGAAATATTGCTTCGGGTGCCCGAATTCGAGTACTGTCTTTCATGCGCCCGAATACGAGCTAACGACCAAATGTAATTGAGCCATTAGTCTGATTTCCAGTCTGATCTGACAAAATATTTTTTTTCTATAAAGAAAAATATTTGATACCTACAAACATAAAATCCAAATTTTTTATTTTAATCAAAACATTTAAAAAAATATGATTTTAATAAGCCATACCAAGTATTTTTCGAACAGCGGGAAACCGTCTTCGTTATGGCGCGAAAGGAAGATATACCGCCAAAGAAAAAGATACAAGATGAAGCAGCCCGTATAGGGTTCCGTAGCAGAGGAGGCAAGTCCTACTTATACCAGGGTCATGAATGGATGCCCATCCCAGAGGACGACGAGCAAACCTACTGGATGTCGGAGGAAGAAAAGATGAAAGAGAAGGAGAAACTTGATGCGATGCTTAAGTACAGCAAGAAGAAGAATAAAAAATAACTTTCTTTATATTTTAAGTAATAAAATATTGTTGAATTGTTTACATTGTATGTATATCTGTCAAAACTTTTTCGCCATCCACATTGACTATAAACAAACTATTTAAAACTGTATATCTATCTAATTTTCTTTATCAAGCTTTTCGATAGTACAAAAAATGTCGTTATGAGGATTACATCTTCTTTTTATGACGCATTTACACTAAAACGACTCCTGTTTAAAAGGCGCCATTGTAAGAAAGTCTTTTTTTATTGGTGACAATTTTATTTTAAAGAAAATTTTAGTAGATTTTTTTGCTAGTAAAATTTTCTTAAGATTTAAACATCTATCAGTTAAATACTTATTTTTTTTTATTTTAAATATTATGCTGGGCTGTTTTTGATAATATTACTTTGAATCGACATAACTAGTAAGCTATATAATATTCTGATGTTTGATTTAATCATTATGAATAGAAAACGACTCAGTTGTGGTGATACCTAATTATAAGTGTTCCATTGATGCAATCTACGTTGCAATAAAAAACAGCTATATTCACAATACTTATTAAAAGGGAGTTGTTTTCTCACAACAAAAAGACACGTGGTCCTTTAAAAAGTGTTATCAATATTCAATGAGCGTTCCTTCTTAATATACTAATTTCTTTAATAACACACTTTTCCTCTTTAAAAACTGAGTTTGTTTAAGTAATTTGCTTAAATAAGCGGCTATTAGCAGCATACATATTTAATACTATTGTAAAATGACCGCCTAAGGGCAACTTACAGAATTACAGCACAGTGTGATTTTAAGCAGTAGGATACAAGCAAACAAACTTCATTGTTTCAGTTGTTGTAATAGTTTATAGCATTATCGAAGTTTTTATTTGAAGACCTCCATGGGCGAGTGGTTTGTACGTCGGGTTACATGGTGTCGCCGACTCGAGAGGTCCCTGGTTCGAATCTCGGTGGGGGCAGATGTTTGTGTGATGAATACGAGCATTTGTACTCCAGTCATGGAGTTTAACATGTATTTATATATAAATATATTTATATATGTACAGTATAAATGTATTCTATTCGTTACCCTAGCATCCCTTAACACAAGCCTTACAGTGCTTACTTTGGGGTTAGACTAATTGGTGTAAGTGTTGGAAATATTTTTTTTTATTATCGATCGTTACGAAAGCTTTATTGCTACGGAATATACTTATTTATTTATAAAAGGGGTCAGGATTAACAGCTACTCTTGAAGACGTCAATTAAATGATTATCAATATTACAATATATGTCGTTGCAAAGTGAAACTCCATCAACTTAAAACAAACTGAAAATAATATGACAATGAACGCTGACGTTAATTCCTATGTATTTAAAAATTAGCTAAAAAATATTCAAAACAGGCGGTAGGGGAAAAAATTAAACGATTCAAAACAGTTTTAATATGCTTCCACTTTGAAAACATGTCAAATTAATAAGTCCGTCTTTTCGGACTAAAGACGAAAAAACTAGTTATCCCCTTTTTTACTTATCAATTGTTGAATTTGACTTATATGACTGGTTGGTAAGAGATTGGTTCAACATTCAATAGGTATATACAAACAACTAAAATATGCACAATATTTTTAGAAAGTAAAGGCTTATAATATATCTGTTTAATGCTCTAAATGTATTAGGTTAAGGTATAACTTATTAATAAAAACCAGTGAACTGTTTGTACACTCTACTGTGGCGCATTACACAGCAATTAGCAAAGTTCAAATCGTTAGAATTATTCATGGACGTATTGTCAACGCCTGAAGTTTACAATCGTGGACTAATAAATTTACACGTGCTTAATTTACGACTGAAAGGTTGGTGAAGCAAAGTTATTATAATTGTAAATGATAGTTTGTTTCTATAGAAGATAATGATTTTTGATCCATTTAAACGTAGTTCGGAGCACGGGCGTAGCCAGGTTTTAGTATCGGGAGGGGTTCAAAAAAAATAAAATTATTGAAAGTGCATGCACTAACATGCAATAAAATGAAAAATATGAAATATGTAAAAAAAAGAAACAGAAGGTTCATTACATATGCACTACAGAATTAATCTTCTGGTTTTCTTTTTAAATATATCCACTACTTCAGTCGCATCAAATTCTATTCTATAGTGAATATTCATGAGAGCCAAGAGTAAAGGGCGAATCCAAAATACATTATTAGTGTAATAATTACTAATAAAATAATTTATGCCGCTCGCCTCCCTTATTTTGATATTATTGATGTTGATATTTTAACTTTTCGGGGGGGGGGGGGGGGGGGGGTTGAATAAGTAGATACTAAGTGGTTTTGAGTTGGTTTTACTTAAATTGCTTACTTCTTAATTAGTTCTTCGAAGGACAGTCGTGTTTTTGATTATTAAGTTTTTGTGTTCTAGTTTAAAGCTATTTTAGCTATCAGTCAATGTGGTCGATTTTGGTTACATTGCCAACAGTATAATTATAGTTGTGTAAGGATATTGAGTGTTTTATAAAAATCTCAACTCATTTACAAATACCTATTCTATCGTCAACCGTTTAGAATAAAGAGATAATATACATACATACATATTTCGTCTTTGGTTGCAAACACCTGAAACTATCGTAAATGAAATTATTAATATAATTCATAGAGTCTCGGGTAAAAACCTCTGTTCTTAAAATTGCGCGCGTTTATAGCGCGAAACGCGAATACCACCGTTCGCGTGTGCGTTGCCAGGACAAAAAAAACCGTTCGGAGCTTCAGAAAAGCGATTAAGCGTTTAAAACCGGACTATTTTGTTAGTTTACAACGACATTTACTATCTAGACTATTTAATGGGTAGGAAGCGGCGTATACTAAAAGACCGACTCTGCTGTAATGCTTGCGAGCGTTAAACGTCCGAGCGAGAAATAAATTAGATAATTTATGATATTTTTTTGTGATGGAAATGTTTGAACCCGCGGACCACTACCATGGGAATGTAAGTGTTTTTCTTTTTGGAATATTTAATTTCAATAAGAAGATTCTCAATAAGAACTAGTAGAAGATTATGAAAAGGTACTCATTAGTAAATGTTTTGTGAATAAAAGTTTTGCAATATGATTTAAGACCACCGCAAAACCGGACAATATCATACCAGCGGAAAATGTTCAACATATTTATTATATTTTGGTAGTAACTTTTAACTTGGTATACACGTTTCGTGGCCAGATGGTTCGTGGACAGTAAAAAAGTAGCAGGATGGAACTGGATCCGTATCGCACAACAGCCAGAAAATTGGCGCACCATACAGGAGACTATATCTAACAGTGGGTAGAAAAAGGTTGAAGAAGAAGAAGAAGATGTCGTATATAGTTAACGAGATACTTCGCCCTGAATTCACATCCATAATATTTTTTACACCAATTTTTTTTCTTAAATCATTTGATCCGTCTGGACCCGGAGCTGATGTGGTTGTTTTCTTTTTAATTTGATTGTTCATTTCCTCTAGGGTAAGTGGACACCTTTGAAAATTGATAATAGAACGTTGAGGTTTTTGGACGTTTCAATCCTCGTGCAGTTGTCCTCGTCCCAAGCTTAGGCACTTCGTATGTGTTTTTAAAATGAGCGTAAATCTGTTTGTTGGTCAAGAGAAGCTTTCCGTTTTGTTCATTGAAAATGTTTTTCGAGTATTGTAGAGGGTTTTTTTATTTTTTTTTATTTATTTATTTATTTCAAGTAACAAAGACTCATATTATACATAATACATTAATTAACTATTTATTATTATTGATTTATTAAATTAAAATTATTTCTGAACAGTCACTAATAATCAAAATTGAATTGCAACATTTAAAATACATAATATGTCAATAAAATAAAATAAAACTTATAAAACTAAACAAACAACACAATGTCATTAAATCGCTCTGCCACAGTGTGCAATGTGCAGTCTACAGCAGTGGTTAATATATGGGCAGTCAAGCCTGTCTCCTAGCACATCCAGCATGCTATTGGCACTCCCCACTTTTTGTCAAAGTCTACTTCAAGTAAAATCTTCTAAAACAAGTAAAGCTTTGCAAAGTCAAAACTTCGAGAGTTTACTCGTAGTAACTGAACTGTGAATGTTCAGACATTATATCCATTAAAAAGTTTAGGATAATTTATAAATTTTATCTTTTTTGGCATTTAGTATTGCTTGAGACTGGTTTTCCGGAAGCGATTGTAATATATTTCTGTCTCATTTTTTAAACTAGATATATCTATATTTATATTTTTTAAGCATTTAACTGCTAGATGCAATGTTTAAATCTAAAGATTTTACTAGAAATGGTTCCCGCCTTGCAGCCTAAGAAACACTAGAGAAAATTCGACACGGACAATTAAGGCCCCAGACGCAAAATGGTCAGTACATATACCCCGGATACCGTAGGGTGTGAGTTGGGGTCCCGTCTGCTGTCTGGTCCGAGTGGATTTTGCTCTAGTAAAATTTTCCCTAGATTTACATATTTGTAATAAATAGTGGCCCGCCCTCGCTTCACTTCGGTGTAGAGCTGTAGTGTAGGTGTATTGTGTCTCGAACATAAAGCTTACCGAGAGCTGATGGATGGGAGTTTGTATGGGGAATCAAATCTCCCAGACAGACAAAGTCGCCAAAAGTGAAAAAAAAAACACAAAATTGAAAAATATTTTTCTTTTAAAAGTCTGCATAGAGTTGCACACTGTTCAATTGCAATTAGTTTTGCTTTAAATACAATTGTGCATACGTATTGTTACTAAAAATAGCTTTACATTTTGAATTATAATAAAGAACACGTTTCTCTGAGAGCACTTGAGCCGTGTTATTTATTAACTTTTAAACATTTTTTGGAGCACATCTTCATTTGCGTGCATTTGTAAGCTATCCACATTGTTTGTGGCAAGTTGAGCATAATTTTCTTTTAATAGCCTACACAAACTTGAAAGCAAACACTCCAAAGTCTATATTTTTCACGGGCGTAAATCTTTGGTTATTGTTATTTACGAACAGTACAGTCTGACA